TGAATATTAAAATTAGTCTGAAACTTCTCTGTACACACCATCTGGCCAAGGAGACTCAGCCCAGAAGCCTGCTGGGTAGAGAAGAAGTGAGCCGGGAAGAGAATTCTTTTGTCAATAATCCACCAGCAGATAATGAGAAGCTGATTTGCAGTTGGCCTCCTTAGACAACTTGGGTGATGAACTGTCTGCTATTAAAACTGGCAGGTCCTTGAATTTTGTGGAGTCCAGTGCCCAGAGAGGGGGAGACACTGGCCCAAGGTCACACAGCAAATTAATATGAAACACAAGACTAGAAGCAGGCATTTCTGATGCACAGTCCAAGCTCCTTGTTCCCTCCACGCAAGCCTCTTCTAACCAGAAAATTTCCAAAAAATTCATCAGCCGATTGGGATGACATCAAAGTATGCAGTGACATTGAGAGATTTGCTATGGAAACATTTCAATTAATAGCAAAAGCATGTTCCACTGATCCATCATATTCTGGGCCACCACAGGACCACAAAATCCCTAGCAACCAGGAGCTCAACCTAGCAACGGCAGCTGGAGCACACGGAGGGGAAGGAAGGCGTCTTACCAACATGCTTTCGGTTATTTATGAGATTTCAAAGTAGCAGAGAAAGGACACAGAAAGGACAGAACCAACACATTTATTACGGCTCCCACTGTCAGCTATGAGCATTTGCCTTTAAATTACAGGCAGACTCCATCATCTGACACTTAGCTCACACAAAGAGAAGAATGAGAAACTTCCACTAAACCCCACTTGCTCCTTTCTCTCCCTCTTCCCCCTCCATGTCTCTTTTGGAACAGAAGACATGGATCAACAAATACATGCTTCTGATCCAGAATGATTAGGATCAAGAAGATGTTTACAGTTCTTCAGAAACCACTGAAAAATGCCCTGACAAAAGCCATTCCTTAGAAATAAGGCAAATGAGTGTAATAAGTAAACTCACAGCCCAAAGGTCTATTAACAGGAGAATGGATGAACAATGCGTGGCGTATCCAGAGCATGACCATGGAGTACTACACAGCAATGAAAAAGAACGTGCCACTGATACATGCCAACACACATATGAATCTCACAGACCCAGTGTTGAGTCCAAGGAGCCAGGCACAAAAGACCACATGTGGTTCCCTCTATGTGAAGTTCAAGAATGAGCAAAACTAACATGGTAAGAGAAGTCAGGTTGATGACTCTGGGGTAGAGGGATACTTTTGATGGGTACTACCTGTGGGGAGACTCAAGGAAATCTCTGGTGGAATGAAGAATGTTCTGTATCTTGATCTGGGGGTGGCTGACAGCATGTTTAAGAAAATGAACATCATTGAGCTGTACACTTAAAATTACTTTATACACTTTACTATATGTTTTGCCCTAATTAAAAAATAGAAGTCAGTTGGGGGGGGGGAACAACCTTGAATCACAAGATGCCCAGGTTTTTTTGAGGCAATCAAAGTCTCAAGGTCAACCAAAGACTGCAGGTAATCTAGTGAAAAAAAATAAAATCCAAAATGTTCTCTGCACATTAAACCGGGCTGGGTTTAGAGCACCCAGGAGATTCCTACAATGCAGAGAGAGGCCAGGATTGGATGTGGATGGAGTCAGACAGAACCGGACTTACTCTCAACTCTGCACTCCCAAGGATGTGATTTTGCTCAGGTCTCTCGTCCTAGCATGGAGGTCCAGTGTCTGCTTTTTTTTTTGAATGAAAATAATATCCTACCATCCTCCTAGGGCTGTCGTGAAGACTAAATGAGTCCGTGTGTGTAAAGCACCCAGCACAGTGCCTGGCACACAGTGGTGTTCAATAACGGTCTCCACTCACTACCGCCTCTCTCCTCCATGCCTTTGCCCAGACTGTTCCACCTTCCAGGAACACCTTTTCCCACTGCTACCCAAGTTTGTGCCCAGCACTCCATGGAAAGTGAGTGAGACATGGCTCTGCCCTCAAGGGGCTCCCAGCACATGGAGGGTGACAGACGAGCAAACAGATGATGACACACAGAGTGAGTGCTGGGGGCAGCAAGACTCTGGGAAGGCTC